TCCTAACATTATACTATATATTTTTGATTTGGACTTTGCTCTTCGGGCACTTAACCTCAAATTTAACCATGTTATGATTGCAACTGTCAAGTGGTTCTAAAACGTCTAATTTACCAATCCTGTCCTGGTTATTAGAGAAAACAAGATCAAGAATGGCATCTCCCCTGGTAGGGGTGTTAACAAACTGAGTAAAAAAACAATCCTGTACTAATTCCATCTCCAGTTCATTTTCAGAAGAGCCAGCGACAATGTCCCACTGCATCCCCAGTAGATAAAAATCACCCATATCACTGTATAACAATCTGTTTTCCTCATCAGCTACATTAGGTGCTCTGTAACAAACACCGACAATTAGGCTATTTGAGTTTTTAGCATCTAATTTTACTCATATAGCTTCCGTAGTTTTACTTATATCAGTAAGCTCCCTTGCCTGCAAGTTTTCCTTTACATATACTGCAACACCACCTCCCTTCTTACCTATACGGTCTTTACGGAACAACGTGTAACCATCCATATTATATTTTTGTCCATCCTTTTCTCTCAACCACGTTTCAGTTATTCCTATAATATCATAAGAATCCGATGAGATAAAAGCCTCTAAATCATGATTTTTATTCCTAATACTCCTGGCGTTTAAATACAGACAACAAAGGATAGGCCTATTACGGTGCCCACTTATAATATGATTTATTGGGGCTTTCCGTTTCCCCCCACTTACATACTTAACTAACCTCCCTGCCCCCCCAGTCCCTAGTTTAAACATTCCTCAACTACTCTACACATACGCCTTCCCAGTACACTGGTTCCCCGGAGCCTTTATGTGTTATTGTGATTTTTATTTTGATTAATTAGGTAAAACCCAGGACAGAATTTGGGCAAAGTTTATAAGTAAATAAATACTGTAGTGCGGAGGTACCGGCCGGCAGCGCGGCATATTGGACTGATGCCAGCTTGTAACTAGTTCTCAGTAATCGCTTGTGTGATTATAAATGTGCTGTGTGTTATGTCATGTATAGTGGTTAATGTTTATTGTTGTATGTAGTGTGTGTGTATGTGTGCGTGCACCCACTGTGTGTATGAGGAGTAAACGGGGCGATGTGCACTGTGAGCAGTGCCAGTGTGTGGGTTGTAGTAGTGCGGGTGTAATAAACGCCATCTGATGATTAAAGCCCGAACTATCCCTGCTGTTTAATTATTGCGAGCATGACTCAGCGACCCACTAATATTATAGTGCAGAGGTCACTAACAGGCGTACCACGGTCCGGGTCCGGGTCCGGACCCACAAGTTGTCCTATACAGACCCGGACCGATAGCCAAAACATTATTATTTAAAATCTGACGCTTCTATTTTAACCGACGCAGCTTTTGTAGTCTTTTCGGTAGTGGTTTAGCAGTAGAACCGCTGTTTCCCACGCCAATGAACGTCAAACACCTTTAACCGCCAAGCTAGACGTAGTTCGTCTCATGCAGCCCTTTGTCTGCGCTAATGTGCCATTAGTGTTAATAGCAGCAGCGAAGCTAAAACCCACAACCAAAAAGCCGTAATGTTCCTAACAGTGACTGGTCTGTCCTGAAATCATACAGCTGAAAAGTTTTTAAATACAGTATGTATTATATAACATATTGGTTAAATAGACATAGTTTATTGTTGATTTCATGTTCGTTGAAGTTTCTGCATTTTAACATATGTGTAAAGTAATGTTATCTGTTATATAAATAAACTCAGGTGAAAAAAAATGTACGTTTTCATGGCTGCCAAATCTCAAGCATCTGGCATGACACTCACGCTTTCAGACTCACGCTGGAAATCTTACGGCAAATCTATATCATTCCATTATAAAACCTAAAATTAGCTACGTCAAAGGTGTATTTAAATGGTTAAATACAAAAACAGGCTATTTACTAGGTAAGAATTGTTACATGTGTGCAGACATCTCGAATTGAAAATCTCACTCCAGTCAGCTGGCCGAAGTTCTACGTCACGTGACAATGAATATTGTCAAAACGTTTTTGAATTGTACTGAATTAATTTGTTTTGACAGTCAGGTACTGATTAAATGCAATGTTGATGCAACTTTGAGGTTACTTAAATATACAGTATATCACACTAAATAGTTAGACATTATGATCTTCCGGACCTTTGCTTCGAGAAATTTTCTCTAACTGGACCTCTTAAAATTTTAGTTGAATACCCCTGTTATAGTGTGCATGTGTGTGCCCGCGCCTGTTTGCTAGCCTGGCGCCGCTGAGTCACGTGACAGCAATTGAGAGCAGCAGCGCGAACACAGACAGCCGCAGTGCATTTGGAAAAGAGACTGAAACTGAAGTATCGATCTCATTGAACTGGTATTGATCAATATCAATACCAACATCCATCCATCCATTTACTTCCGCTTATCCGAGGTCGGGTCGCGGGGGCAGCAGTCTCAGCAGGGAAACCCAGACTTCCCTCTCCCCGGCCACTTCCTCCAGCTCCTCTGGGGGGATCCCGAGGCGTTCCCAGGCCAGCCGAGAGACATAGTCCCTCCAGCGTGTCCTGGGTCTTCCCCGGGGCCTCCTCCCAGTGGGACATGCCCGGAACACCTCACCAGGGAGGCGTCCAGGAGGCATCCTAAGCAGATGCCCGAGCCACCTCATCTGGCTCCTCTCAATGCGGAGGAACAGCGGCTCTACTCTGAGTCCCTCCCGAATGACCGAGCTCCTCACCCTATCTCTAAGGGAGAGCCCAGCCACCCTGTGGAGAAAACTCATTTCGGCCGCTTGCACCCGCGATCTCGTTCTTTCGGTCACTACCCACAGCTCATGACCATAGGTGAGGGTAAGAACGTAGATTGACCGGTAAATCGAGAGCTTTGCCTTTTGGCTCAGCTGCTTCTTCACCACGACAGACCGATGCAGTGCCCGCATCACAATTTCGGTCAGTAATTTCAGACTTTCAGTTTTGACCAAAACCGAAAATTCAATTTTTGGATTTTTTTTAGACGCATATTTTCTGTAGTCAAAATTTCAGTGCATCGTTAATAATAATAACAATGATGGTAAGCTGTGGGTTAATGATCCTGCTCAAGGGACATGGGGTTATTCTACTGAGGCCTAGCTCGAACCAGTGTTCACAGACATAGGGTTATTCTGCTGAGCCAAATACTGCCCCCCACTCGGTGACAAACCATTTGAACATGAAAGAAATGTGGTGATGCCATATAATAAAGAATGTAAGTGGTTAAAGAAGGGAAACGCTAATTCCTCCCTTGTTGACCCAGGGATGCATTGAAATCCGGAAGATCAGGATGTCCCTCACACAACGCCAACCATCAGGTACAGCTACACAAATCCAAGTCAGTAGATAGAATGGCACATAGATACATATGTGGACAGTTACTGAAGGCTTGCCGATCTGCAGGGAGACAGAGAGACGCTGTGTCACTCACTTGGAGTCCAGGGTGTTCAGAAAGAGGCTGTGGACGAGCTCTCGCTCCAGGAGCTTGGGCGCCACCTTCAGGAGGGAGGCAGTACTGAGGTCCACACGTCGCTTTTTGTTCTCTATGGGAGCAGGAACACTGAGTACAGCCAGGCAACTCCAACACACGGGGTCCTCGACCTCTCCCACTGGGTCCTCTCCCGCACAAACACGGGATCCTCGCCCTCTCCCACACACGCACGGGGTCCTCGCCCTCTCCCGCACACGCACGGGATCCTCGCCCTCTCCCGCACACGCACGGGGTCCTCGCCCTCTCCCGCACACGCACGGGGTCCTCACCTTCTCCCTCCTGGAAGATCTTCTCTTCCTCTGGCCCCTCAGGTTTCAGAGGGTTGACAAACGCAGCCCTGAAGGGAAGCAAAGGCAGAACCATGTCAGCGAGGCAACTGAACTGAACAAATGAGTAAGACCCAAATGAATGAAAGTGATCTAAATGGACCCAACTGAGCGGGAGGGGCTCAAACGCGCAAAAGCAACCCAAATGAGCTTGTGGGGGAAACTCAAACTAACTAGTGTGATCCAAACGAGCAGATGGGACCCAAAAGAGTGGGTTCGACCCAGCTGAGCAAATGTGCGGGATCCAAAAGCAGGGGCAGGACTCAAGAGAGGATGTCAGCAGACATAGTATCTGCAGCTCAGACAAGGTTATTGATCTGAAACTAAGCAGGTTTTGACCTGGCCAGTACTTGGATGGGAGACCAACTAGGAAAGCTGGGTTCCTGCTGGATGAGGTGCTGGTGTGGAGATCAGTTAGTGCATCCTGTGGTCTGTGTGGATCCCAGTGCAGTGATGGAGACACTGTGCTGTAAAATGGTGCCATCCTTTGGATAAGATGCAAAACTGAGGTCCTGACTCTCTGAGGTAATAAATGATCCCTGGGCATCTTTCAAAAGAGTAGGGGCCTTAGCTAATGTGTACTGATGCAGAATGGCTCCTGCATCATCCAGGAGGGGGCTACACAGTGGTGGTGGTTGAAATGGCTCCCTGTTGGTACTAGAGCTGGGCGATATGGCCTAAAAATAAAATCTGATTTTTTCACATAAATTCCGATTTTACTCGATTTTCCCCTCCCCTACTCAAAATCAAACTACAGATGACAAAAATGGTTCAAAACAAGTTTTAACTTTATTTAGCTATTTTTTTTTTTTTTACTTTAGGGTTAAAGTGCAATCTGACAAGCCATAAAAGATGCTTGTACAGTAAGTGAGATGGCAGACCACGCCATTGTAAACAATTTTAGAAACTTGTAAAAACTTTTAGAAAGCTTTCTCTATAGCTTATTTTCAAACTGGTAACAACACAATACGCCCTCAAACTTATAAATAAAAGTAATAAGTAATATTGTAATAATAATAGAAAAAAAACACACAATTCTATCATGTCAGCTTGGTATTAAGTAAATACTTTATGCCATTGGGCTTGACATAGTGCAAAAGAAAGCTTTTGAAAAATTGCCAGTGTTAAGAAAAATGAGGCATGTACTTCGGGTCTAAAACTTTTAGCATGTTAATAAATCACAGCTTTTCCACAGTATGTA